ATGGAAGAGTGGAAGGGGGGTGGGGGGGGGGGGGGTGTTCTTGTGTTGCCTACCGTAGTGTTAATATCGGTCACGCATCCCTCCCTCTCGGTATATGGCGTTTGTCGAATCATATGAACAGCCCTTGGGACTGCTGTGGTCATCGTTGATACTGGGAGAGGCTAACAATTTGTGCGGGTTATCGCAAGCCCCCCAAGACCGACGTTTCAAAGCTCGATTGCTCCGCGATCGATAAGGTGCGGATACCGGCCAATACCTGTGAGATATATATGTATAGAGAGAGAGAGCTCTCAGCGAGATCCTTTTACAATAGCGATACCCCCCTCTTCGGCATACTACTTGTAGCCCGGTGGCAGGGCAATCGAGCTTTGACAAGCCGGTCTAGTCGGTGTGCGATGACCCGCACACCTTACGCGGTATCACCACCATTCCGTATTCTTGCCATTCTTGGCAAAAGAAACGAAACAGTTTTACAGAAAACAAACCTACAGTGGCGGCACAGCTGCGTAGCCATACTGCGCCATTCACCAAAAGAGTGTATCCACCTATTTACTACAGAGGCAACTTTGCGGCCTCTCGAGAATACCTTGAGCCGGAAGAACAGACGGCCGGCCTTGATGAGCCTTGCCCCCACGGGGACGAGCGGCCTATCCTTGAGACCCTTGGTCACGCCCGGGCTTAGCTTGGACCAGTTCTCGTCGAGGAACTCGAAAATCGATTGGAAAACCTGAAGCGGCATTTTTGCGGCGGGGTGTGTGAGGGGTGCACGTGCCAGCTCAAGCTTTTTCCGACATGAACCATTCTTCATCGTTTTCTTGTCGTAGACCAATCCCCTTGCAGAGGCATCTTTAATACGAATGGCGAACAGGGGGCCCCGCGGTATCGCGTTCCATGCTCTCGTGCTACGTACGTATCCACACCACGAGCGCGTTCAGTTCGTGTACCGAGTGCACTGCCCGAGCGCTTGACGCGCACTTACGAGAGCACATGTGTTGAAGGTGAGCCGTATCAAGGGTATGAATGTGCCAGGGGGGAAATGGCCAAGTGTGTTGGGGACTCTCCCCTATCCCGTTGGTGGTGGCTGCTTGGTTTCATTAAGCGCAACAACAGCAGCAACGGCCACAACAACAGCAACTACAACAACATCAACAACGACGACAACGACAACAATGGCAGCAACCAACCACACCCCGTAGAATCGTTGCAACAGTCTCACCTTGACAGGCGTTTGCGGGTACCTCCACCTGTCGAGCTGGCTGTGCCTATCGGTGATGATCTTCAAGTGCCGTAGCACCACCTCCAGGGGAGGGGGGCTCTGGATCTTCAGGAGAGACCAAAACAACTGATTGGTCGAATCGTCGCAGCGTCGCAGCACCATAACGTCACGGGAAGAAAACGGGGGGGAGGGTTAGAGACATACCCGGCGGACTAGAAAATAAATGAGGAAATGTTAATCGTGCCGGAGAGTCAGGATGCTACACGACACGCTTTCAAACGGAGGGCGCACCGAGACTGGAATAGAGTTCAGCTACGTGCATGCACTACCGCTCTCAGATGCCACGCCTTCGCGCGAACCAACATACGCATTGCAACCGCCCCCCCCCCCCTGTTGCTGTTCTCACACGGGGTTTCGAGAGCAGCCAACCACACAAAATGCCCCCCTTTATTTTGTCCGTACCCATCGAGACAATCACCAACCGCGTTCACTACTTCGCCCGCACTTCCTTCTACATCACCCCCCCCCCAACCTCCCCAGTCCCTCCACCGTTTTGTACGGATGCCAGGTCAATGGTCTAACCACTACCGCATGAACCACCATGAATACTCCCCC